AGGGGTCCCTCCCAAAGTCCTTCGAGTAAACCTTAAACACATCCTGGACAGGCTACCCTAAGTTTTCCGAGAGAATATTGCCCTAAACCCTAAACCTGGTTATAATATGCGCATTGCAGGAGCCGTGTTACAACACCCGAGGAAGTTGCCAGCATCTGGCGAACATGCAGGAAAACGAGCCTCGGTTTGGCATGGCTGGCCATCAGAGTTTGGGGTGAAGAGTTAGCGTTTAGGGTTTATAGTTATGTAATGCTAGCACTCATGAAGTCCAGATATAAAACTAGGTTATGTAAAATGTAGGTCGAGGGCTTTAAGCTGAGCACTAAACCGTCCGGCATTCTTTGACTGCAGGCACAGGTGCTGAAGTGAAGCCGACGTGTCGTGATAAGCTCGTAATTTGTTCCAGCTTCTTCGCTTTGTGATGGGGAACCAGCTCTTACGAAAGTCTCAGAAGCTGCTAAGGAGTGGTTCCGTGATAGACCAGGGCTTCAGAGCGGTACACGCCTGGCCAGATACTATTGCAGCAACAAGCCCGTGGGCTGCAGTCAGATGCGCATAAACTTACGGTTCATGCAGTTCTTAGCTAACGAAATTGTGGCTGCAGAGGTGGGGGTACATCGCGGAACCCAGCCTCCACAGGTACGAAGGCGACGACAAAGTCAGAGAGCTGGCGATCCGGCAGGTGCTGCTTCGGCGGCTGGTTTATCAAATCTCTGTCGTGGAGGGCTTTGAACCTCCGTGCCTGGATAGAACCGGGTTGCTGACGTTCTTGGCTTTTTGCGGTACAACTGGTAGCCGCCCGCACAGTGCGTTGCAAGCAATCGGCGAGTTCTCAAATTCGCAATCGCCACAAGATTCGTTTTAGGCAGTCATGAACTAGTGTGAGTAAGTGCGAAACGAACAGCAAGACGACTCTTAAGACTTTATGCGCACGTTCAATGCTAGCATCTTGGAGCCACGGCCCAGTCTGGATGACCTTGAGGCTCCCTTTGAAGGCGCTGTGCTTTCTTGCGCTCGCGCTTCACGACTAGCTTTGCCCTGTAGGGGTTCAAATGTATTCACGGGGTTTCCTCAGGGAGCCCAGAAGCCTGTTCGCGGTTATGCACTAAGCGATGTTGTAGACGTCTTGTTTAGCGTAGTTATGTTTCAATGCCTGATGACACTACGGTTTAGGGTGTGGTCTCCTTGGCTTTGCATCCACAGAGGGGCTTCTGCACCCCTTTCGGATCCCCATGTTATTCAGAGTGCCTCATTCTTTTTGGGGGCCCAGAAACAAAAAGAGCGGCGATTGCGTGGTTGACTCAGCCGAGTCGTAGGAAGCCGTGGAGAGGTGGCGAGCTCTTAGATGCAAAGAGGACTCGGGATTTATAGTATAGTATAGTATAACATTTGATAGTACAGTATATTATGTTATATTAAGTTCGACTCGGGCAGACTCTGGCGAAGTACCAGGATCGTAAAAAAGCTCGCTCTGGGAGGAACCTTTCTTCGCAAGAGCCCTCCTTTGAATTTGACGAGGCCCCCAAACCCCTCACCGCGCAGGTCTTCACCAAAATCGTTTTGGATGCTACAGACCTACATGCTGATATCCCAAATGGGCCTCAGCGCCATAAAGCCTTCCCGTAGAACCGAAGCCAACAAGCTTCTTCAGAGCCCTATGGGCAATGCTGCCTCGGCGGTTAATGTCCCAACACCCAAGGAAGCGTCGTTTATTGCAGCGCTTTTTCGATGATGATGATGATGATGAT